TATGATCTGTTGAACTGGAGCATTTTGATGAGAGCTGAGTTCTGAAGGAACCAGGTGTTATTTTGCTCCTGGCAGCAATTGAATCTTCACAGGTTTTTCATGACATCACATCTTTTCCATGTCTTAACCAGTGACTCATCCTGCTTGCCTGTTTGTTCCTATTTCTGTCTGCCAGCAGGAAATGCTAAGCTTAATGCTAACATTCTCTTATTAATGACACATGAAGTCTAGTCTGCCCAAGGTCCCTCTCTCTTGTGGTATGTGGTGGGTGGGTTGTTTTTTCCCCTTTCCCAAGGTGACTTTTGTTTATCTGATTCTTGGTGGCTTCCACTCCAAAGTCTACTTTTGCAAAGGAGATGTGTGTGTTTGTGTGTGAATGTAACATCCCCCTATAACCACAGGGCTGGGAAGTGGATTATCCTGTTTTTGGCTGACCAAACCCCAAACAAGGTGCAAAATGCCATAGTGTAAGTGTTATAAATGTGACATTTAACAGCAGGGAAGAGGAAGTCTTTCCTTCACCAGGTCTCATAAAGACTGTGGTGGGTGCTGGCGATTGGGGAGAACATAGCCTCTGTTCTGACTCTGAGCAGCCTAAGGAAGGATCATGCCAAGTACATGCAGCTTGTAGATGTTGCCAATAGCTGGACAATAAGCAACTCTCATTCTTGCATATTATTCTTCTTTTAAAAAAAACAGAAAAACATGGAAATCACACTATAATCCTTTTAAAAAATTGAAATGTTTATTTCCTTAGAGACTATTTGTCACATACACTGCTAGAAAAGTCATGGTGCTAAGGGGATTAAATTCAGTACAGATTAGATGTTTCAGTGACATTTTATTTGGAACAAAGAATTTGTGGCAGGAAATCTCCACTAGAAGAAGGATGGTTTGGAATCAGGGATTGTGGGTTTTCAGACCTGCAGCAAAGAGCATCTGTCATTATTTAAAAACTCAAATATGTTTTCTGTGGAAATCTCCACTAGAAGAAGGCTGGTTCGGAATCAGGGAATTGTGGGTTTTCAGACCTTCAGCAAAGAGCATCTGTCATTATTTAAAAACTCAAATATGTTTTCTGTGTTAGTACCTTGTAGTTTCTGCTGAGACAGCCAAGTAAATTTAAGAAAAGCTTATTGTACTCCTATTGTGAATGTTTGCGTGATGGATCTTGAGACTAGAGGGCATCTGCACACAATGCAAATGCATTTAGGTCTTCTCTGATAAACACTGAATTTTGATTGCTCATTAATGCAAAAACTTCAAATTTTTGTTTCAAGCTACCCACTAATGGTCCTGTGGGTGTTTTTAATTGTTTGCATAAAGCACAGGCACACACGTAAGCTGCAGAAGAACAGAGCTGGTAGCACACTGGGGTAAATAGACCTCCCAGAGACCCTCCTGTGCCTGCTTACAGCCAAGCTCGCTGGCTCCTCCTCAGGGACAGCCTGGCAGGTTTCTGGATGCTGGGGGCTCAGGCTCTTCCACCCAGGCCTTTGGCTAGGCTGTTAATTAGTGCTACATCACCTTTCTGCTGATCCCTGCTGTGCCTCTTGTACTTGACTCCTAATGAGTTTGTGGTCTATCTGGAAGTCTTGGAAGCAACTTGGCGGGGTGGGGAGCAATTTCTGTCAGTTGTTTTTTTTCTTCATTAGATAAACAACTTGAACTTAAAAACCTGAAATGCTAATTACCTGAGGCGCGTAGTGTTCTAAACTGAGGGAAGGACAACTGTTGTAAATGCTGAAGAGAGTGAGCTCAGATTTTGCAGTTGGTTTTGTTTTATTTATGCTGAGGCATCTGTGGGGGGAGGGGGTGTGCACTTGAGCTCTCATGGTGTGAGTGGAGAAAATTAAGCCAGTTTATTGCTGTCTAAGAAGCTAATGTAACCTGAGGAAAAAAGTCATTTCAGGGTGATAGTACAACAATTCAGATGCAGTTGGAGAAATGCCACTATGAAGCTGTGAGGGGAGATGACATGCCCTGTACCTGTGCAGTACAACAGAGCAAGGAAGCCATCAGTGACTCAGGAGGAGATGAATCACATTTCTGTATTGTAGCACATGGCTACCAGGGCAAGGGTATGAACCATCTTTGTATACCATGAGATACAGGATGCATTTCCCTCACACACACTCCCTCTGATAGTCTGAGAAGGCAGGCACACAAAGTATATCCTAGTGAATATGCAACTTCTCTTTCTGTGGTTTAAGTGCACTGCCCACATAGGACAAGTTATGACTGAGCAAACCCATGTTATCCCTTGGGGATCTGCACCTCCTGCAGCCCCATCTCTCACTAATGTATAAACTGGAGCCCATCCCCATTCACAGGGGGACCACGGACAAAATACTGAAATCAGCAAATCAGATTTGTTAAATTCCAGAGCTTTTGGGCAATAGCACAATTTGACTTTTTCAGTCCAATTTCTCACTGAGCTGAGGCACTGAGGTGGTATCAGGACAGATTTTGGGAGTCACCCTGTGTGTCCCTTGAGGCTGCTTCCCAGGACAGCCTGGATGTATGTCCCCAGAGCTGAGTCCTTGCTCTGAGCCATTGTCAAATTTAATTTCTTTCCAAATTATTTTGCATGTAACTTGACAATGTGTCTTGCAGTCGCTTACTGCCTAGTCACAGCCTCATGCCCTAAGGCAGAGTGGGCACTGCTTAAACACAGAGGAGAAAATAGGAGATGAGATTTGGAAGGCAGATGAACCTCTGAATGCAGGTATCAAACAATAATGCTGTGAGCATGAGATGTGGAGGAACCTGACTTCCTATGGATTTGTTTGGTTTTGTTGGTTGCAGAATCTCTGAAGTTACTAATACTGATTTAGGGCCTTCTCCTCATGAGGAACAAAGAAAGCCTCTCTCATGTGAATCCTTTGGTATTTGGAAAAGATAATCATTGCACTTCAGCTTTTTTCACTGCTAAGATATGCTTAAGGTCTCTCTTCACCTTACCAACTACTTTTGGTGACATATGTAAAAACGTTTGAACACATTTTCCCTCAGCCAAATTTGATCAAGAGTGCCTATGTGGAGACTGATGGTTTAATAAGCCTGATGTCTTTAGGAAATCAGGCTAAAATAAACTGTAATCTCTTTGAACAAAAGAACAATACTGTTACTGCTGAGACCTTCCTTGCTTGAAGAAATATAGTTAGGATCTAGTTGTCGTGGCTGGTTTAGCTGTTCAGCAGCTGAGGGGGGATGTGGTGTCAGTGAATGTGAGAGTGCTCTGTGATGGATTTATCACTGGCAGGAAAAGAAATGTTCACTCAGGCTGCAGGGTGGAGCCCACCTCATTCTGATATTCCCATCTCTCACCTGTTGCCCGGAGGGAACAGAACATTTCCTCAGCCAGTGTGCAATGGTTCATCGAGATCAGCCAGTGGATTACCCTGTCTTGAAATAAAGAAATGAAAAAATGACATATTTTCCCAGACAGCTGGTGGAGAAAGAGCAAGATTCCTGCTGCACAGCCTCTCCACTGGGAAATCCACAGTATGTTACAGCTGTGGATGGTCTCACAGTAGTGCAATAGCAGAGCCTTTTAAGCAAGCTGTAGGGAGCTTATTTACAAGTGCTGTCCTACAGAGAGGCTCTGTGATGTTCTGGAGCAGAACAACAGGCGGCCACAGCCTGGCTGCTGTGTGTTCTGCAAGGGCCAACACTGTCTCTTGCACGCAGCCAAAACAAAGCTGCATGCATGGGTATGATGGGCAGGATGATTTTAAGGCTGAGTTTCCTCCCCACTGTCTCCTGGAGCTGTGGTGATGTGCTGTGTCTGATCTCTACTCCTGCAAGAGTGCTCTATGTGGATTTATTTTACTCTTGCAACTAGTTACATGGTTGTTAAGTCCTTTTGGGTCTTTTTCTTCAGAACTTTAATCCCATTTTAAGCCAGTGGCAGCAATGCTTTCTTCAGTGTGGGTTTTGGGGGACTGAAGGATGGTTCATTTTAGAAATAACCCATCACAGTAACTATAAGTTGACACCTCATACTGAGCACACAATTTGAAGGCAAAGCCTTTTGGCTCCCTGCAGCTGTTTCACAGAGCTGCCATTTGCCCAAAGAAGGATGAAATGTGTTCAAAAGGTAGACACATTCAGAGTGAGAGAGACAATCAGCACATGACTTCTCTCCTTGGTTCAGCAGGCAGGTCTGGAGGGAATGGATTGGGCTGTAGGACTGCTGTTCTGGTGTAGAAATATTCCTCAGTTTAAAAATAAGCTTGCAAAATGTAAAGGAAAAGTGCTACTGGCATTCAACAGATGGTAGTTGACATGTTTTCTAGCTGTCACAAGTCTTTCAAAATTCTTCTGTTGCATATGCCAGAGTTCACCTTTGTGCTGCCCAGCTGAACACAGAATGACAACTGCAGGTGGAGGAACTCTGCAGGAACCCTATGGGTAAACAGAATTAAGATGAACAACAGAACAGGATTAATTGATCTCATATTAATATGTGCATCTCAGATTCTCTGATTGGGATATTCCACATTAAATTCACTTTCTATAATAATGGTGATTGCATCAAATCTTTAATTTTTGTCCCTAACTTGAGGCAAGAAAGGGAGTGACCTGCAGCATCTTCCTTAAGGACATTTCCCTGACCGTGACACTGAATTGCAACATGTAAATGTTTTCTGCCTGGAACAGCCCTGGACTGGTTATTTTGCCTCTGCTTTGAAGTGTCAGTTTTCAGTGAACTCTGCTAACATTTTATTATTGCATTGCAGCTGAGGCAGAGAAGAGCAATTAAAGGGTTGACATCTTTGGTATTTTTTAATAGTACATGTGTCAAAATGCATTTAACAAATCATGGTTGATGCAAAAGACTAATTAATGCTAAAATGTAAGTAGAGTTCATTTCATTTGGGAGCAACTGAGAATTTTAAAATGTATAATAACAAAGAGTGGTTGCCTTATTTTAGATGCAGCTTTTGCTTCTGAGAACTGAAGTCTTAAATCCTAAATGTTCCTTTCTGTTGCAGGATACAGCTGGACAAGAAAGATACAGGACCATCACTACAGCCTACTACCGAGGAGCCATGGGCTTTGTCCTCATGTATGATATCACCAGTGAAGACTCCTTCAATGCTGTGCAGGACTGGTAGGAAATAGTGAAATACTGTTGTTAATGTTGGGTTTGTTTGGGTTTTGGCCAACTCTCTCCCCACAACTGTTTGTTGAGAACATGAGACATCCCACCCTCCATCACTATCACCTCCATGTTCTTTCCTCTTCACCTAAATAAATTGGTTTATAAATGTTCCTTAGAAAAACAGTTTCATTTTAATGAAAAGGTTGTAATTCAAATATTGTAGCATACTATAGGATTTGTTACATTTAAAAGTTTCAATTTGTTGTGAAGAAATTAATCCTTGAATGCTTTTTTTTGAGTTTATAAGATTTCTGGCTACGCTGCTAAAAATAGAGATTAAGAGTGGTTGTTCAATTCACATCTCAGGCATTTGGAGAAAGGCTGTGTTTCTCCTTAGTAGTGCCCTGTGACTCCACTGAAATGTCTTGCAGTCATTTCTGCTGGTTTCCTGGTGCTCATTACTGCAGATAAGAATGGTCACAGTGCAAAGAAGGGCAGTGCAGTGGTTAATGTGATCTCCTGAGGCAGATTGATTTGCAGTGATCTCAGTGACCCCCTGGGAGCATGTGACATCCTGGCTGTGGCACTGGCTCCTAGCATCTGGCTCAGCCTGGCTTTCTGTTGAACACCTATTCTGTATCCCCTAAGCCAGGCTGTAACTCAAAAGCTGGTTTGTTGTTTCAGGTGATTTGTGTTTCCTCCAAAGCTGCCCAGTTTTTGTTCTCTCTGTTCACTACAGCAGTTGGTCATGAAGGTCACATGAAAGATGCAGTCTCCACTTTCACCCCCCATCCCTGGTACCACAACACCCACTGAACTGCAGCCCCATCCTGGGCAGCCCTTCAGCACCTTGTGGTTGGGGAATACATTCTTTTCTTGTTAGAAACACAAACACAAAGGTTTTGCTAAAACCAGTTTCATCCATCAAGTTTTGCTCACCAAGCTCAGATAAAGCTTTTTCTGCAAGTGTCTGCACAGGGATGTTTTCCACAGGAGTGCAGCCATGCGAGCTGGGGCAATATCCTTCACTAAACCATAAATATTTCCAGCTTGTTTCCCTCATGATACAAGATCCGTATGACCACACAGTTAATCTACCTGTCTGTCTGTTGGTTCTGCTCTAATAAGTTTTACTTACCAGTCTTAAGTTAGCCAAAATTTACCAAATCTCCATTTCTGAGCTGCTACTATTTTGAAGTTTGCACAGGTGAAGTTTAACCTGAAGCTTTATATTGGAAGTAGTCTAAGATCTGTTCCATCAAAGGGCACTGGTGTGAGAATAAGAATGGGGAAAGGTCAGCTCTGTCTGTTTGACTTCATGTCTTCCTTTACCACAGGAACTGCAGGAATCTTTGCTAAGAGCACCTTGTCAGCCAAAGGACAGAGGTGAACCATCAGGGCGTTTTTTCTCTGTATGTCAGGAATCTTTCCAGCCAGCTTTAAGGTTCTGATCCCAAATGAGGTAGTGGGATGGATAAAAAGGACAATTTCCTTCCTTCCTGAAGCTTGTCCAGTGGAGAGATGAAGACTGCAGCCAAGCCAGCATCTCTGGGCCAGCAGAGTCCTCTAGTGGCTATTGCATCCAGGAGATGGTTTTCCCCCAGTCTGCAAAATTGCTTGCTAAACTTCCAAAGGCACAAAAAATGGAGAAAAAAGCTTTTGGCTGGTGCTGCTCTATTGGTGTCTGCCATTTTCTAGCATAGCAAGTAGGATCCCCCCCCACCCCCATTCTGCATGATACAGTTATGGTTAAAAAATCTTATTACATTTGATATGATCTTCGGTCAGGAACTGTACTCTGCATAGAAAATCAAGGTGTCTACTGCTTGAGCTCCTTTATCTCCATCTCTGGTTTCATTGGCACATGACTCTTTTAGCAGCCTCCTGATTGGTCTTCACCTATACAGAAGGGAAAAGAGAATATTCCTCCCAGGCTGCCAAATTATTTCTTCCCTGGGAGACCTTTTACTGCCCTCATTCTTCCTGTGGGGGGATGTCCTGAAGAGGATTTTGGTTTGCTTTGTGTCACTCAGACCTCTCCTAAACCAAATAAAGGCACTTTCTTTCCTGAGTGAGAGGATCATGGTTGAATATCAGTATTTAGACAAACTCTCCAAGTAGAATATGAATGCAAACCAGAGTCTTTCCTTTATTCCCATGAATCACTCCAATTAATGATGATGATCTTAAAACCACTGAGAAAGAGACACTATTTAAATACATTTGGGAATACCTGGAACATGACTTGTTCTCTTGTTCACTGGAACACATACAACACATTGTGTGAAAAACCTTAAAACATTAAGCCTGAGTGATTTTCCTTACTGCAGTATGGTAAGAGTTCAGTCAGGTTATTTTAAAAGAAAAAGTGTAAATAGGCAAACACAAAAATTTGTTTTAATTTGTATTTAAAAAGAAGTAATTATTTCCTTTGAATATGTCTTTCATGTAGGGTGAGAGAAAGGGTTCAATGAGCTTTCATAGCTTTCAGCTCAGTTTCTAGAATTATTTTAGTAGTCTTCTTTGATAGCTATTTTTTGATGTTGGGTTGATGGTTTTGTGTGTGGATAAATCAGTTGTTTATACCTTGTTTGAAACTGCAATGGAACTAAAATATACTCAGTACTTGAAACTGTAAAGTAAATACAAAATATTATGGAAGCTGTGCTTTGGACAATCTAGCCAATTTCATAGAAGGGAAATAAAAATTGGTAAAATTGAACTTAGATGCAAGTGACATCTGGGTTCACAAATCATCAGCATGATTTATCTTTAACCCAAACTGAGTTGTTGATACCTCCATGTAACTGTGAACCTGAGATTATTTTTCTTCTAAGAATGAAACACAAAGTTTGTGCTTTCTTGTTAATTTGGGGAATTCAGCACAAACAAGGCACAGCATTTTATTGTATCACACAAATATGTTCCTCCCAGTGTGTATATTAGGCTGCCCTGATGGTTGTTGAAACAGCTCCATCACACAAACCTTGTTATTATTCAGTTATCTTTCCAAAAGCATCTGGAAATTTTCTTTCATTTTGTATGGACTTCAGGGTTTCTTTTATTTGTTCTTTGTAACTTTTTTGGTTGTTTTTTATTCCTAAGAAGAATAAAGATTGGTGTTCTCTAAGAGGTTTTCCACTAATTTATACAAAGCAGAAGAAGGAAGTTCTCTGGGAGATCCTTCATGCTGTTTGCTTCTTTTTCATTTTCTAAGTAATTCTGAGTAATTCTAAGTAATTAAATAGTTAAGATTTGACAGGGTGTCCCCATATGATGCCAGGGGCTGAAATGAATCCAGAGGCTGAACTGTGAGTCAGAAGAGAAGCCTGCTTTAGTTTGAAATTGAACCAGGGGAGACTTTATTTCTCTCTATTGCTTAGGGAAAGCGACTGGAGAGATTTCATCTTCCTGGGCTTGTGGCTGATTTCTGCAGTCACCCCCTTCTCTGATGAGCCTTGAGAAACCCCAGAGTCCCACAAAAACTCATCACAGATCCATATTAGCTCTTACAGGACTTGTCTACACGGAGACACTGAAAAGGGTGAGACTGGAGGAACTAAAATTTGGATTGGAGTGAGTGCCTTTCCAGGAGGACACTAGGGAGAGTCTTTGTTTATTTTTGCATGTTGCACTGTGGGTCTGGGCTTGGGTGAGGTTCCTGTTCTCCAGGGCAGTCCAAGCAGGCAGTCTCTTCAAGGCAAGTTGCACAATGAAATGCCCCCTTTTTCCCCAGGTACCTGTGGGGTAACATAGCTGGCTGCTTTCCATGGAAAAAAGCAAGTAAGCAACTCAGACTAATTAAAAATTGTCATTAATAGATCAGAGCTGGAGGCTGCTGCTAATTCAAAAGAAAAGGAATCAAGTGCTTTATTGTTAAGGGAGTTCAAGGAAACTTACATAGAAATAAAATTGGAGTGGACTCCTGGCTCTCCTGGGAAGTGGCAGATTTGCCTGAAGCCGTAGTGTCCTGCCTGGAGTGGTGGTGGGGCAAGGAGTGGGAAGGTGAGTTAGGGAGTGGAGGAGGATGGAGGAGAGGAGTGTATGGCTTCTGGCTTACCCTTGGGGAGGAGGGAGCCTTCAAAGACAGAGCTGACTTGGTGAAGATAAAATAGGTTTTGTGGGTCTGAAAAGATGGATGAAAGTGAATGCTACCGAGCTAATAACATTCTGCTGCTGGCTCTGGGACACCAAGGATGGTGGGAGAGGACTGGCCCTGGATATACAACAAAAATATTCTGTTTTGTCATGGAAAAACTCTAAAAGAGCTAAATGTAAGGTCAGAGTCCTGGGATCCACAGTGAGCTCCACTCCATTTTCAGCACATGAGCCACAGAAAGCTTTGGAGGCTCCAAGTTCACCCGAGTGCTCCTGGCCAAGCTCCCATGCACTGCACCCCTGTGCCACTGAAGTTAGTGCTGGTCTGTGATTGCAGCTGCTCTTGTCAGCCTTAGGTGTCCTTTAGTCCTGCTGGGCTCTGTAAGCTCACAGAACCTTGCTTTGATCTTGTGCTTTCCCAATTTGGTAAATTTCTCTTCCTCCTTTGCAGTTGTTTCTATGTGATTTTCAGTCTCCGTGAAGTTTTCCTGTTTGAGCAAAGACAGCTTGATACTTCCATCTGTTCTTATGGTCTTCCTAAAACTCTACAGCAAAATGTGCTGCAGAAAATGAGAGAATTATTGTTGTTCTGTCTTATGTATAAAGTTTTAAATCCAGCATGAAGTGTGCTGTATGGCTTTCTTTATGGGAAAATATCCTTAAGAGCTGTAATTGATTGTTCTTCCTCTGACAGATGAGACCTGAAGGAGAATAAGCTTTACAAAATGCCTTTTTTGTCCCTAATCTTCAAAAATCACTTGATTCAGTTTTTTATCTGGATCTTGTGACCTTTAAAACCCTTGCAAATTCTTAACAAGAAACTTTATTGTCCCACAAAGTTAAGGAGTGCTAAAATAGAGCAGGGCTGTGAATTACAAAGGCTGCATCCTTGCTCTGTGTGTAAGCCTGCTCATTTGCCCTTGAACCAGCACAGCTTGGGGATGTTGATAGTGTCATTAATGGTACTTGTTTTCATATTTAATATAGGATTGTATTTTGGCACAGCTGATGGAATATAACAATCTCTTTTGACCTCCTGTAGGGCCACACAAATCAAGACTTACTCCTGGGACAATGCACAAGTGATCCTGGTTGGAAACAAATGTGACATGGAGGATGACAGGATTGTTCCTGTGGAGAAGGGGAAACATCTGGCAGATCAGCTGGGTACATGCAAAGCTTTTCTTTCCACCTTTCTTCCTCTGCTTCTTTATACTGCACTCCTTTCAGTTTGTACAGCAGTAATACTTCAAAAATGGTCTCACAGCTAAAAAGTGTAAGATATTCTAGGTTCATATTTCACTTGTTTTTGGCTCAGTAAGCCAAGAATACCTGGTAGACTACTTGTAGTGTTGCTGTGTTTATAAAGGTGGTGTCTAGAGGTGGAAGGAAAATAAAGTTTATCTGAAGAAAAAAGCTTTTATTAGCTTAGCAGAATGAAAAAAGTTTTCATAAACATAATTCTGTCTCCAGGTCTCTTAAGTACCATGTACTCATTGCAAATCAATGCAAACATTGATTTTTGTTGAAGCTTTTTTTTTTAACTAAACAATGAAAAAGAAAGAAGTTTATACATCACAACTGAAGAATTGAGTAAAGCATATTTTAAAAATGTACTAGGCTTCTCTATCCAGGTAAGAAGATGACATTTTGTTATTGATGTGGGATAGAAAAAGCAAAACAGTTCCATTGAGAGGAAGCTGGGATTTCAATGAAAGTTTTATAATGAAGAGACAAGTAAACTCATACTGCTTTATAAGTTATTTATCACTTTTCATTATCTATTATAGCCTGTAAGATATTTTTTATATGAAATCAGGGCTGTGTGTTAAAATTTTAACTATACTGTTGTTTTCTGTTAAAGAATTCAAAGTAACAAGTAAATCCTGCTAAAATTTTATTCAGGTAACAGTGGAGACCCTTACAGTGGGCATAAATGTTTACCTTGTAAGAGCAGAGATTCTTACCAGACCCAAAGGAATCACCATCATCCTCAATTTATAAAATCCTGTCTTGTCTTCAGTTGTTAAACAGTAGTTGGAGGGTGCATAATAAACTGGGGGTACTGGACACACTGCACTCATTGCTGTAGTTTAAAGTGTGACCTTGAAAGTGTAAATTCTACATATGGCACACACAAAGGGGTCCCATTCATGGCTGGAGCCCTGAGGCACTGCCATCCTAAAGAAATAACAAGCAAATATCAAATTAGATCCATTGTTATTATTGTAAAAGTAAATCTTTACATGTTGCAAAGCAAACAAGGATATGGTTAGTTTGAAAAATCAGTTATGGGCTCTTTTTTACCCATCAGAATTTAATTTATTTTGAAAATATGTATGTGAATAAACTTGGTTCCTGGCTTGCAGACTCTCAGAAAGGTTGTGGATGCATGTGTGTCCACCCATCTCACAGGAATAATTACACTGCTAGTAATTGAAATTTTGTCCAGGCCAATGTAGCAGCAAATTGAGAGTTTTATTTGAACTCCCAACCCAATTTGGACTTCCAGTGTTTTTTTCTCCTCCCAAAAATTCATCTCCTTGTTTCAATACAAACTTGGCATCTAGAATTTGAATCTTACGTGTGGGACACTTCAAAACACACACACACAGGGTTACCATAGCAACTGATTCCATCAATAGGAAACTGTTTTGCAGAAGAATCCCCAGTGCTGCCCTGACCTGATGCTTGTCCAGCTCACCCTGGAGAAACCACCCCAGTGCAGGGCAGCCCAGCAGCCTTTGGGAAGTGCTGTCCCAGCTCTGCTCTTCTGTAACCTCCCAACTTCCAAAACACTCTTTTTAAAAGAGCTGGAAAATAGATCTGATTTGATCAGATCAGTTTTTCCTTATAGTAGCTATGCTAATGTGTACAGCATTATATGAAATTATTTTGTGAGTTACGTGGGAGGAATCTAATTGGCTATTGACTGCTTAAAGTGCTAATGTTCATCATAATGATTCACATAAAGGTTATCCCTCAGCATATTCATCTAAATTTGCATAGTGACATTAACACCATTGAATTAATTCCCTAATCAGATTAAGAAATTGTTGTTAGCCTGAATGTGAACTGAACCAAAGCAGATTGGTTTTGCAGAACCTAAGCCAGTGTTGGACTAACAGATATCTAAATGCAGTTCTCTGATTTCCTGTGCTTTTTATATACATTTTTATTCATCATCAAAACATCAGGTGGGGCAGACAGAGCCCTCGTGTGATGCAGGGCAGCTCTCCCTGTTTGCTAACAGGGCAAACATCAGCATCACTTCACCCCTTGTCCCATGAATCTTAAAAAGGGTCCAAATGGGGTGCACAGCTACTTATCCCACACACCGAGGTGACTCAGCCTGCCAGCAGTGGCACACTAATCAGTTAAGACAAATTTTTCTTTGTTTGTGGCAGAATCAAAGGGAGCTGATGCAATGCTGAATATCCCCAGAATGAAGCACGACAGAACGGAGCTTATTGCAAAATAAACTCTCCGTGGGGCCTCAGCTCTTGCTGCTGGCAATTCAATAACCTGAGAGAAGAGAAGCAACAGCCTGGTTGGCCCTCGAGGCCCCTGGGGTGAGGGAGATAAGGAAATGCTTCTCAGTTCAGGGCTGTCTGTCAGAGCCTGCTTCTCCCCTAGCCCCTGGTGGCAGCAGGAGGAGCTGGTGCCATCCCCCCCTTGGTGGAACTCCAGCCTTGCTGGTCTGGGGTTTTTTTAATCAGAAGGGGTCAGTGTTTAAGGAGCATTTTGCTTTTGGGCACCGAAGTTGGTCAGCAGAAGGAAAGCACCCCCCCATCTTGTTTCTCTTTCTGAGCTCTGCTCTTGCCAGAGAGCAGCAGGGGTTGGCAGAGCCTGGCCCTTGGCAGGGCTGAGAGGAGCCGTGGGACATTTCCCACACCTTGCTGGTCACCAGCTGCAGCCCAGGGGATCTGCACTGATGAAAGGGGCAGAATTGACTCCCTTAGCCTGGGTTTACCCTTACCTGCACCAGGATAATGGGAAGGACCCATGTATCCTTTTCTTTTCACTCTTAAAGAAGCTTGATAACATTTAAAAGTATTTCTCCTCACTATTCTGAGATTGTGGGGATCAACTGACTTCCAGGATTATCTGATGTCTTGTTTTCTTCAGGTAAATCCTGAAAAAAAGGTATTTTAAAACCCATCACGATGATCCATCTCTATTGATAATTTTTGTTCCCTTTTTTCCCAGGTTTTGACTATTTTGAGGCCAGTGCCAAAGAAAACATCAACGTGAGGCAGGTGTTTGAGCGTCTCGTGGATATAATCTGTGAGAAGATGTCAGAGAGCATAGAATCAGACAATTCCAGGGGCACTTCTGGAAGGAGCATGAGGCTCACAGACAACCCTCCCCCTTCACAGCAGAACTGCTCGTGCTAGTGAATTTTCACTGTCCTTGCTCCCTGATTAAATTTTATCTTTTCATTTGTGGTGGTGCATTATCACGTAGTCCAGAAGCAGAAGTGTCTGTTGTAGGAAACTGGTATGTTTGTTTAATGTGCTGGAGTGTTAATATTATATATTTCCTCATCCAATAATTTAATAATCTGAAAAAAATATTGTAAGTGCACCTTGTGTGAATGTGAGTTACACTGAAGAATAATAATTGTGTAGTGTTGCAAATGTTATTTCTACAGAGGATGTTGCATTTTTAAATTCTAAATTCCTCTGTTGCAGAAAGAGTGCTTTTGTCAAGAAGAGCAGGAAGCACAAAAACCAATTAGAGGGGATCAGGTCTAAGAGAAGAAAGGGGGAAATCAAAAAATCAATCCCCAGATATTTTGAGAATTGTTGCTGTCCTCCAGACATGGACCTCAGTTTTTCTGTAGGATGGAGCAGAAAGCAGAGCATTGCTGTCTGCCACTATGAGGTCCTCCAGAGTGTGAAGAGGAAGGGGTTGGATTTTGTGTCAAGCCTCTAAACGGATGAAGAACACAGGCAGGAATCAAAGCTGCCAGGCTGGGGAGGAGGAGGAGGCCTTGCAGCCATCCCTGTACTTCCTTCCCTGTGCTTTGGCTGGTGCTGAGTGAAGGAGTAAGAGCCCTTCCAAGGGCTGCCCTTGACTCCAAACTTCTCCAGCACAGCTTGCAAAGTGCTGGGGGTGTTGCTGTGTTCAGCACATTCCTGTCCTCAATCCTCTCTCCCCAGAATCTCTCTGTCCTGCAGCCTTTCCCCTGTGTCCTGTAGTTTTATCTCTGCAGGTCTGGATCTCCTCTCATCAGCAGCTTGCAGGATGAAGGAAAAGGGGAGCTGGCTGCTGAATGCTTAGTTGGAGGCAAAAACATATAAGACATGGAACAGAACTGTCTCAGAGAGATAAAAATATCAGAAACCAAAATGTGAGTGTTGGCAGGTATTTGTGCCAATATTATTAGATTATCTTTCTGCATTTTGTTGTTGATTTATTTTTTTTAATCTTGTTCTGTATGGGTGTGTGTGGGGGCTAGATTTTCTGGGTTCAGATTCAACCACAAAGTATAATTTAAGAAAAGTAAGAGTGACTAATAAAACACAACTGCAAATGAAACGTGGCAAAGACATCCTGTTATTCTGTCAACTTTTTGTGCATCATGCTTTGAAGGGAGGCAAAATTTTTAAACTGAGTGGATATGGAGAGAAGTTGGTTGTCTTAAGGGGAAAATTCTGGAAGGTTTTTACCTTTGGTCTGTGATCTCCTCTGAGTGAGGAGACTTCTTGATGGCAGGAACAGGAGTCGAGTGCCTGCCCACTGCCCTGTAATGTGCTGGATCGTGACACCACTGAGTGCTTTTGTAATTCCCTTCTGCTGTGTCTCAAAGTGTAATAGCTCTAAGAAGAAAAGCACAAAATTCTGGACAAAAATGCAACGTTTTTGGAGTGGTTTGAGCTCATTGTGCTAAAGGCTTGATCCCTCTGTCTGTCACTTTTGGGAATCTCTACTGTGACGTGTTCGGGGTGTGTGATCTCGTCCTGAGAGTGTGATTTGTGCAGTGCTGGGACTGTGCTTGTTGTATCTAAACCCCTGAAACTGCAAAATAAAGAGAAATGTACTCACTGGGTGTGGCCAGAGAGCTTGTGTCAGCTGCATTTCTTGCGTTAGGAATCCAACACGTGTGTGGAGAAATCTTTTTAATGCTCTAAAAATCCATCAAACTACATTGATCTTTCTTTGACAGGGTGATGGCATTTGAACCCAGCAATCTGGAATCACTATGTAGGTTTGGAACAATGAGAAGGCTTATTTGGCCAATAAATGCATAGTGTTGTGTTCTGATTGTAGAAAAAGCAGGAGAACAATGAGGAGAAGGCTTATTTGGCCAATAAAATGCATAGTGTTGTGTTCTGATTGTAGAAAAAGCAGGTTTTAGGGCAACTTGTATAACTAGCAATAAAATTTTTAAAAGTCCACATCAGATTTTGAGCTGTGCAGATATAACTTAGTACCTCTGTGCAAATAATGATTTGGCAGCTCAGCAGCTCCCTGATAAAAGAAAATGGATTCAGCAGAAAGGGAATTTCAGTTATTTTCTTTCACTTACTCTTTTTTTTTTCCCCTAGCAAAAAGACCTTTCCCTTTCCTACCCAAAATATAATTGTGTTTTGTTGTGTTCTGGTCAAGTCAGATTGGCTTCTTTAAAGAATACAAACTAGGATGGGCAGATTTGTTTTTCAGAGGACAAACCAGCAAGTAGCTACACAGCAGTCTGAAGAAGAGTTGGGAATTCTACCCTGCCTGATACTGTGTACATGGCAAAGCCCAATACTTTTTGCAGAAATCCTGCAGAATTTATTTCAAATAACAAATCAAACCATCACAGGCAATGGATACATCTCTGAATTAATATGCATTTTGTGTATCTCATCAGTTTCTGTTTGCTGTGAAGGAATACAGGGAAAGCCTTTTGCCTTAAGTGGCCTGCAGCTGGTTTCAGCACGAGCAGTGAGCCAGGAGTTATTGTTACTTGAATTATTAACTTTAAGGGGCACGGCAGAATGTGAGACGCTGATGGGTCAGGGCACGGGAGATAAACCTGCTTGCACTGCAGGCAAACTCGAAATGTGCGATGTGGGCTTGCAGAGAGCCTTGCAGGATAGTTGTGTTAATAAAGCAGCCTGGTTAAAAGGTAAAAAAGGGACACTAGGGTGTGAAAATAAAGAGGCGACAGCTCCTCACGAGCAGCTCTCTACGGCTTGTACAAAACGGCACCGAGCGTGCCGAAAGCCAAAGCGCAGGAAAAGCCATCGGGAAACGCTGGGGCTGGAGACGGTCTCGGCTTCCATCTGGTGGAGAAGGAAAGCGCCGAGCGTCAGGCGGCGCCCGGCCCCAACCAGCCAGGCTGAACGATCCTCAGGCTCGGCCTCTCGCCTTTCAGCACCTCCCCTGCGGCCAAGGCGGCCGGGGGCTGCGGGCAGCGGAGCGGGAGAGCCGCGGGCGGTGCGGACGGGCTGCGCTAACCGCAGCATCCCGGTGCCCCGCCGGGAAGCGCCGCAACCCGGAGGCAGAGCAGCGCTGCCGCGCCATCGGCACTGCAGGGGGATGGGGGAAAAGGAGACCCAGGAAGCGGAATGTGCAGGGAGCTGCCGAAGGGGCCAGGCAAAGGACAAAGAGCGGTTTCTGTCAGCAGCCGTGGGTGCAGCCTTTGCGCCGCTCGGGCCACGCCGCGTTCCGCCATCCCGGGAAGCACGGAACCCGCCATGCTGCCGACAGCCGGCCCGAGAGCTGATTGGTCCTTGCAGGCTTGAGCGACAGCCAGCCTGACCAATCGGTGAAGGAGCTGAGGGCAGGAGGCTGGTTTCCGCCAGCTGGCTGTTGGGCTATTCCAAAGCGAGAGCAGGGGAGCACAGCTTAGGCGGCGGGCGGACATACTCATGGAAATTTGGCGGCGCACAGAGCAGTCCCCGAAACCTGGATCCGCTCTTCCGCCTTTTCCTCACCCCTCTCATTTCTCTGCCCACTCCCCCCGATTCTTGAAAGCAGCCACATCCCCCCCTCCACTCCCCCATTTATGGTTTCCCCCAGCCGCTCACGCCGGCAGCCTTGTCTCCACCAATGGGAGCGCCGCGTAGCTATGCGCATGCGCAGTCTCGCGGCCGCCCTCGCTCGGAGCGGGCGGGCGGCGGCGGCCGGGGGTCCCCGCGGGCGGGCCGTGGCCGGGGGCTGGCGGCCGGGACGGGCCGTTGTCCGGCCGCTGTGGAGCGGCGGCACCGCTGCCATGCCCGGCAGGAACAAGGCGACGTGCGGCTACGGCAGCCCGGAGCTTGCGGTGGGGCAGCAGGCCGCGGAGGGGGGCCGCGACGCCGGGGGCCGCTCGCCTCACGGGGACGAGGAGGAAGAGCGCGGGGGGGCCGCTCCCGAACACAACCTCGGTGACCCCGACATCGTCAAGTCCCCCAGCGACCCCAAGCAGTACCGGTGAGGGCGGGTGCCGGAGGATGAGCTGCCGCCGGGGGACCCCGGGGGAGGGAGTGGGGCCGGTGCCGGTGCCCGGGGCAGCTGGGTGCTGTCTGTGCTGAAAGGAGGCTGGCGCTCCCCAGGGTGTGTTGGTGCTGAGGGTGGGCTGCCCGGGGTGTGTGCGGGCAGGATCGGCCCTTGTGCCCAGGCCGGTCGGGGCTGGCTGTTCTCCAGGCACAGCAATGCCCAATTCAGCCCGGCAGCTCCTCTCCGAAAGCGTTCGGTGCAAAGTGCGCTTTAAGTATTTCAGAGCAGATCCCAACTTCAAAACTGCTACTCTTCGTGTTTTAGATGAGCTTCTAAGTTTTAAGGCAAATATATCTGTGAGTTGAGGCAAAGTGCTTTTAGGCTGCCATTTTCCTTGTGGTTTTATTTCAATATTTCTGAGTAATACCCTAAAAAGTGATAAAAAGATCAACTTCCCTGAGCACAGCCCACAGTGTCTGTGGCCCAGACCCAGCGAGAGACTCGGATGAGAACTCCGGCAGAGGTTGAGCTTGTTGGATGATGTAAGGCACTCTGAGTGTTCTTGAAAGGACACTCTGATAACTTCTTCCTGTAAGACAGAAGATTATCCAGCCCTTGTTAGAGCTGCTTTTTAAAAATGTATCTTTACTTTTCATGATGTCTAATCTGTGCAGCCAGTGGAGAATCTGCTGCCTGAGCCTGGAGCTGAAGTTTGGATTTGCAGTGACATTGGCTGACAGTGAGGTTCCCTGCTGGCTGCCTGAAGAGGACTGTGCCCATTGGCTCAGGGAGGAACTTGCTCCCTCCCTTCTTGCCCTACTTCCTTGCTGCTTCCTCTGGATCTCTGCCTGCCTCTCCTGTTGGCATTCTTAGTCATGCTACTTTGTGGCACGCTTGTCCTCCTGCTCTCAGCTGCTGATGCTGTCAGGTTAAGAAGCTCCTGCCTTTGCTGCCTGAAGCAGCACACTGGTGCTGATGGTGAAGTCCATTGAAGGCTGTCACTCTCAGTTTTGAGTCTCAGGAACCTCCTCTGTGTGTGAGAATTGGAGAGAATGTTTGCTCCTAGCATAAACTAATACCAAAATCTTGCAGAAATCCTGCTGCCCATTCTTAAAAGAATTTTTCAGTTGGAAGCACAGAGTTGCATCCTTTCAGACTGATTTCCATGTGTGTGAAGCGAGCCTGACAGAGCACAGACATTGTCCTTACGGAAGAGAAGTTCAGTGTGTCTGGAAGCAAAGCCACACTGAACCTGTGTCCAGGTGTGGTGTCCCAAACCTCCAAGGGAGTGTCCTGGCAGGGGATGTGATGATGCTGACACATTTTCCCCTGTTCACACTTCAGTGATGTGTGCTGCAGCCCAGTCACAGTGGGATTAGTGTGTGTGTCTGGTGACATCAGTCTTAACTTAATGGAAAATGTGTTATTTTGCCTTCCCAAATTCACACAACCAAAGGAGCTCTGATGCAGATATCAGGATGTATTTTCAAAAGTGGGTTTGTTGGGACAAAATATTTGTCATACTAAAAGTTTGCTCATTACAGCTGTAACAGTGTAGTTATTTTTACAAAAAATGTATGTTTTATTTACCATTATATTCCATATATGGAATTTCCTGGTCCTGTATTTGTCTTGTGAAACTGTAGCATTTCTCTCAGTGTTTACCATGCACTGATATGTATTTCAATACTAACTTCTAAACAATTGTCAAAGAGAAACTTTGTGTCAGAGCAATCCTGTTTAAACTCATTCAGGAGATTTAAGCAGTATTTTTAAGAATTTGAATTTTATTTTATAATTTGGCCTTACTTGCATCAATGTGTATAGTCCTTCAAAAAAGCAACTGGACCATGCTTGCTTCTGTTCCTACCTTATGCCATTGCATTTTTTGTACTGTATTTTGCATACTAGTGGATATTAGTTACATTTGTCCTTTTCCACTGGGCTGAAACATGGAAAAAGTAAAGAACACCTATGTCAGTGGTGCCTGTGCTCTGTATAACCTAAGCTGTTTAAATCATGCTGGAGTGAAACCCGAGAGCCTCCGACAGCACGGCCCCGGTTCAGCCGTGTCCTTGCTGCCCGGTGCTTTCTGTCCTGTGTGCAACACCCACGAGCCTCCAGAGGAGCAAAGTAAAATTAGTATAATCTGCTCCATTAGCTTAATGGGGCTCTGTGCAAAGGATCAACAAGAGCTGCTGGATGGCACATTGTTCCTCGGGAAGAGCAGCCCTGGTCTGTTCTCTGCTCTCCACCAGTGCTGGGGGGCCAGGGTTCTCCAGGAGCTGTGCAAGCCTGCAGGGCTGAGTTTGTGTGGGGGAGAAGAAGTGCTGGAAGGTGCTCTCTGGGGCTTTGGCTCTCAGCTGCCCAGAGGCTGAAGCACCCACGTGTGCAGTGTGTGTTTTAGGACATTGAGGAGTGCTGCAGCTGTACAGTGGGACACCTGGTGTGCCTGGTGGGAATGGTTCACAAACATGCTTTCAGAATGCAGGAGGATTAACTTTGTACACAGACATTCCAGCACTCTCTGTGCCTCCTGCAGTTCATCAGAGCATCCCTGTGAGTTACACAGTGTGTGCTGTAGTTTGAATGAGTCACAATGCACTTATGCTTTTGGGTAGAACA